GGAGTCTCACTATGTCACCCAGACTGTAGTGCAGTGGCACACTCCCAGCCACCGCAGCCTTGGCCTGTTGGGGGCCGGCGATCCTTCCGCCTCAGCCTTCCATAGCCGGAACTACAGGCGCACGCTACCATGCCCGGGTAATTTTTGATTTATTGTAGAGATGAGGTCTCGCCAAGTTGCCCAGGCGGGTCTCGAACCCGCGGGCTCAGGCAATTAACTCACCTCGGCCTCCCAAAGCTTGGGACGACAGGCTGAGCCACCGAGCCCGGCCTACATTTCTAATACCTGGGATTTTCCTTTATTGAATTTGATTTCAGTTTTCTATTTTATAAAGAATGTTTATGCTTGAAGCCAGAGGAGAGTCTCTATATTGACTCAGTTTACTAGATGGTCTGGTGTCTGGTCATTTTCTTTGGATTATAATGAAATTAACTAGATATATTTTATATTTTTTCAGTCATCAACAAGTGCCTTTGCCTGCTCCCGTTTCCTTTATTTTATAAACAACTGTAAGGATCAGACTGGGAAAAAGAGGAAGAAAAATAAAACAGCATGAAAGCAGAACCAAGAGGGCTGGGGATCTGTTTGCTCCTCTTGGTTGAGAGAATGACACCTCCTGAGACTGCTGTCACTGACAAACAGGGGTTGCTGTGGTTGGAATGTCATGTTGAAATGTAATCATAGTGTTGGGAGGTGAGGCCCTTAAGAGATGACTTGGTTCTGAGGACTCACCTTTCACAAATGGATTGATGCCATTACCTTGAGAGTGGGTGAGTTACTGTAGGAGTGGTTTCCTGATAAAAGAATGAGTTCAGCTCCCTTTTTCCCTCTGTCTCACAGGCTTGCTCACTCTCTGACCTTCCACCATGGGATGCTTCTAACCAGATGCAGGTGCTCTTGGACGTCCTAGTCTACTGAGCCATGAGCCAAATAAACTTATGTTCTTTATAAATTGCCCGGCCTGTGGAAATTTGTTATAGTGGAAGAAAATGGGCAGACAAAGGCGCGGAGTTGCAGCTACTGTCAGCTCTGCTCATTCTGGGTCCCTCAAGTGTGCGGCCAGTGACACACATAGAACCAGGATCCAGGGGTCTTGTTGTCCCATCCAGGGTTCCATTCTGTATGCCATAGTCCATCAGATATGGTGAAATAGAGAAGATAAGAAGTTGTTCTCTCTTTTTTTTTTAATTTTAAAGATGTGGGGACAGGCCGGGCTCGGTGGCTTCGCCTGTAATCTCAGCACTTTGGGAGGCCGAGGTGAGTGGATTGCTTGAGCCCGTGGGTTCGAGACCAGCCAGGGAAACTTGGCGAGACAATAAAGCCAAAATTAGCTGGCCGTGGTAGTGTGTGCCTGTAGTTCTGGTTACTTGGAAGGCTGAGGCGGAAGGATCGCCAGAGCCCAGCAGGTTGAGGCTGGGGTGGCCGTGAGTGTGCCACTGCCCTTCAGCCTGGGCAACAGAGTGAGACTCCAACTCAGAAAAGAAAGATGTGGGGTACAATTCAGGATTAGTTATACATGTGGTCATCATGCAGGTAAAGTTTGGGCCTCCCTTTGGTACCCGCTTTGCCTGGCTTGAGATCAGGTACCCCTATTGATATTGTGTCCCCCCTTCACCTCCAAGAAGTTGTGCTCTCACAGCAAAAGTTTGAAATGGCAGATGATCTGTAGAATTATGAAGAATAGTAAAGATTAGAGGCTATAGGTATCAAATCTGGGGAAAGAGAAGAAAAGGGCATTATCACTGAAATTACATTTTCTTACTTTTTTTTTTTTTGAGTTGGAGTCTCACTCTGTTGCCCAGACTGGAGTGCA